GATATAGAACCATAAGCAAGTTTGCTTTGTTTGAACCAAAAAAAAGAACAAAAGGGTTTTAACCCCAAGATTGTATTCTCTGGTAAGAAGTACTACTTTATAGGTTTGATACGGTTTAAGTATCGAAGTTAATATTTAAAAGAAATTAATTTTCTTTAAATGAAATTAATTTTCTTTAAATGTATCAGGCTAATATGAGCCGTGTAACCTTAAAATCACAATGGAGGAATTAGTCTTACAATGTGCAAGTTGGCCTCAAACACATACATATTCATAAATATTATCTTATAGATCAGATCAGATTCAAGTATTAGTGCCAAGACTTTGGAAATTAAAGCAATTCAATGTAAAGGTATACTCTTAACATCGCAAGTGAATGAACTGATTTTAAACTGCATGTAAGTTGGCTTGAAATGTGTGCTTGTTTGTAAATATTAAAAAACATATCCTAGAGTTCTTTACTAATAAAAGAAAATTTTTAAATGGGCAAATTATTCTATATCTAAATAAGGAAGTAATAGCTTAAGGTGTCTCATAACTCTGTAATGATGAGAGACAACTTGTAATCAATCAATGTGTGCTCTTTGACATTAGGGACAAGAAATAAACATGTCACAACAAAAAATCTTTCAAGAAATAAGAGAGTGGATTGTGGACTTTTAGCCTATTTCATAATTTGGTATAAATTGACAAATAAAAATTAAAAAATAAAAGTAAAAACAAAAAACAAGACAAAGATCTTCCCTTTTTCTCTTTTTTAGTTTTAGATGCACAAGTTTCCTTTTATATATAGTAATTACAATTTACAACATTAAAATATTTTCTTAACCAATACTAAAAGAGAAATTAATTTGGAATCATTCCATGTGAGCAAGGAAGCCCATCTTCTATATAATTCTCATAAGATTCTTATTGTGTTGGTATGGTTAGAGAATTCGGTCTAAACACATACATCAACTTTGCTAAAGTCGTAGACCTGGCAAACGGGTTGGATTGGGTCGTCTCAAATGTCGGGTTTTTTGGATTGGGTCATTTCAGGTGTCGGATTGAACAGGTAGACCCATGACCCACGACCCACCCACACAAGTCTTGGATTAGGTCGGGTGGACCCAACTTTTAAAAAATTAAAATTAAAAATAAATTTTTTTATATTTTTCTCTATTTTTCTTTAACAAAGTCTAATACTAATTAATTATTTAGTGATAAAACTTTATTAAATGCTAATTTTCATTTTATAATTCAATTTTCATTTCAATCTCAAGAAAAAAAAATGAAAAGAATACTAATTATATAAGTGGAACTAAAACATATGTCAAATATATAATGCCTATACAATATTTAGAATTTATAATTTCATAAAGGCTTTAACATTCATTAAAAGAAGAGATATGAAGGATTAGAATTTAAAAGAAAAATCCAATATATATGTTAATATCTAGTGTCTATTCATTATTTATAAAGTATTATACAAAAAATACAATTCTATTCAATATTTAGAAAGGCATTACACAAAAAGTATAGCCTTATTCAATATTAAAATTTAAAAAGTAAATTTAAAATATATCTAAACAAATACAAAAAGAAATTGGATCGGATTTGATTTTTATTAACTAGGAACAAATTATTAATTAAGAACAAATTATCAACTAAGATCAAACCTTGATGTTTTTGATGTTCTTGTCATTGTGCT